CTCTTTCATAAGATTATAGAAAACCGTCAATTCTACTTCTCTTGTTTTGTTGTCATGGTTATAGCCAAACACATCAATGAGCAAATAATTTTTACGTTTATCAAGTTCTTTTTCATGAGCTTGCAGAAAACCGTCAATTTTGTTCATTGTTTTTTTGTTTTTATTGTTACAGCCAAACTCGTCAACCTGCAAATGATTTCTATTTATCAAGTTTTCTTTCATCGGAGCCGTCAATTCTAGTTCTCTTGTTTTGTTATCATGGTTATAGCCACACTAATCAATCAGTAAATAATTTTTACTTTTATCAAGGGCTCTTTCATTACATTGCAGAAACCCATCAACTTCTTTTTTTTATATCATGGTTATAACTCATCAACCAGCAAATGATATTTACGGTTATCAAGGACATTTTTATAAAGTTGTAGAAAACTGTCAATTGTACCCATTTTTCGTTATAATAGTTATTGAAAAACTCTTCAATTAGCAAATGATTTATACATTTATCAAGAGCTCTTTCATCAAACAGGAGAAAATCGTTAATTTTGCTCTTTTTTTTTGTTATCCTGGTTATAGCCAAACTCACCATCAACAAATAAGTTCTACGTTTATCAAGAGCTTTTTTATGAGGCTGCATAAAACCATCATTTTTGCTCTTCTTGTTTTTTTTTGTCATAGTTATAAACTCATAAATTAGAAAATAATTTCTACGTTTATCAACAGGTGCTTCGCCCGGGTGTAATGTTTTCTTAATATGTAAGAGATATTTGTATCTATGTATATAGTTTGTTTGACACGAATTTTATTGTAGTATTGAGTATAATATTTTTGATTAGGAATATAGTAGTAGAGTTAAATCTGTTGTATAAATTCCAAGTCAAGTAATTGATAGTATAGATTAATGTGGGATAAGGGTTTTTTGGGAATATTTTGATTACAAAGATAAAGCAATACACAAACATTCACATGTGTAATCTTTTGTTAATATGTAAGAGATATTTGTATCTATGTATATAGTTTGTGTTTAAGAATTTCATTGTAGTATTGAGTAAAATATTTTTGATTAGGAATATAGTGGTAAAGTTGAATTTTGTGTATAAATTGTAGGGGCAAGTAATTGATAGTATAAATTAATGTGGGATAAGTGTTTATGGGAAATTTTTGATTACAAAGATAAAACAGTATGCATATCATATTAAGTGTTTTAGGTCCCTATTAAGTGTTTGGCACGTAGATAACATAAATAAACGTTCTACATATATGAAGACCCGGAGAAAACGTATTAACATCATGTATATTTTATATTAATTTAGTAATTATATTGTACAATTTGAAGTGATTATTTTAAATGTAATGCACATATATTAAATGATGACGCTATTTACAATCCGTTCAAGTGAAAAAGAGTACTGTGCTTTTTATTTCAATGGACGAATATATCTACATACCATGCATGTTTTTATTATTATTACCAAAGTTTCAGACAGAAACAAATGCAACTATCGACACAAATGAATGTGTTTGAAGAGTTTCTTGTTCAGCTCATATTTAAAACCCTAAAAGTTCCAATTGGTAAACCTGATTTCTCGAAGTACATCTCCCACATACAATATTATAATACAATTGTTAGGTAGGTGAGAGGTTAATGCTCCATTAACGCTTAAGAAGTCTCTTGCCTCTGTAATATTCTGCAAAGAACTAAATTATACCCTAATAAGCTTTGAGAATTCAAGGTTAACAACGAAAGAAAAAGGTTAAGTACATGCTGCAAGAGAACTGCTCTTAAGAAAAGGGTAAAGAAAGTACATGCTGCAAGAGAATGCATCTGTAGGACAGGTAGGAACTGCATTAGACTAATTCAAACTATTAATAGACTATAGCATCCCAGGGACACTACAAAGTATATCGGTAGCTGATGCAAAGAAATACATTATTCATATGGGCTAATTGAGAATAGTAATAAGCAAAAATGAAAATGACAGACTCATTACTCACCAACCATGTACTGCTTCGCGAAATAACTGCAGCCAAAAGAGCAATCCAAAAGGCAGAGACTGCTACCACCATGCTCAAAGTGTTAAGATAAAAAAAACAAACCTGTGCTCTCTAATCGTTAGCTGATATGTACGCAAAGTTTTTCCAAACAATCAAAAATAGTTGGCCAATATACAAACTAACCTCATTTTTTTCTTAAAGTCTTGAGATAAAAAAAACAAAAGTCTGCTCTCTAATCGTTGGATGAAATGTACGCAGACTTTTTCCAAGATTCCGAGCTACCTGCACAAATCATAGCAAGTATATACTTTTTAAAGACCCAAAACAACTGTTAAAGAGTATCTAGAGAATAAACATTGATATATGGGAGCTCATTACTCTTCCTAAGTTCCAAAACTCATACTGTCATAATTTTATAGATAAATTTTCCGGTTTTAATCCAAAGAGATTCAAACTCAATCAAGGAAAAAGCTCATACATCTCTAGTCTTATCTATATGTCCAAATCTCCTAAGAAACACATGTGTGAATATTCTCAGCAATAGCAAACAGATGTGTGATTTATATATAGTAAAAATCAGATCCAATAGGAGAATTGTTGTTTCTTTTGAATACTTAGAAGCAAATGTATTTTCACCTCTACAATAACAAACAAAGATCAAAAACCACAAGAAACAAAGATTATGATATTGATATTGAAAATGGTTTTGGAGAATGTGTTAGAGAAATTGGAGGCTGTTACCATTCACCAAAAGATCATATAGATGTGTTATCGATCCTTGAGTTAGTGGTGATTCCCTTGTCTACAACAACAAACAGAGATCAAAAACCACAATGGAAGATAAAATATTGACAAATTGTCTGTCTCTGATTGGTTTCCAAAGGTCAACAGGAACAATTAGTTTCTACAAAAGCCAACAATCATATGTGATCGAAGGGTCATAGAAAAAAACAGAATTGGATTTGAAGAAGGTACCAAAATTAACAACAAAGGCCACAAAAGAAGTTTAAAGATCAGTACGAAAGTTTAAACTTTTATTACCGTCATCTGGAAAACATAATTGTGGGAATATCTTAATTGATTCAAATGGTGATATACGATTAAACTTCCAATTCCAAATATAACGAAATCAAAGGGATCAAAGTCACTAATAAAATTTCATCATTGACAGATTCTAAAATAAATATCCTAGTTATCTTTTTATAGTTAGAATGTTCTAGAACCTTCAAAGACGACGTATGCCTGGGGTACGGACCGATGGTAAGCTCTTCATGTGATGATTATGCTGAACATTGTCATCTCCAAGACTCTCATTCGAGCTATCTTATTCTCACCATCTCTGCCACCTGTTGCATCTGCTCACAAGTATAATCTGAAACCCATGAACAAAACAAAGTCTCATCAGAAAACGGAAAACAATCAAGGAGAAAAAGCTTGATTCATGGCTCGCTTCCTTCTGTTAGACGAAAACTAAGAAAGAGAGGCGAGAGCAAAAAAAGAGAAATTAACAAAGTAACACTTTTCATATCCTCTTGTTGAGATATTAAGAAAGCTGAGAAGCTGAGACAGAGTATGAGAAACCGAATCAGATCCTTTTAAACAAAAGCATCTAATCATTCTTAAATCTTTGTATATAGATGTCTCCAAAATCTATGGAGAGTAATAGTGATCAGTAGAAGAATCCAGACAATCTACAATGTCACTTGTGGTGGAATACTCAGATGCTTCACTTTGCTTTTGCTTACCAAAGTGAATTGCTATAAAGAATGAGAAATAATTACTATCACTTTTTCCACATTGATAAAATCAAAACCTGAGATATGGGATTCGTCTGGGGAAATCAAACCTATAACCTACATCACCTACCTCTCACATCTTTCAAATTAAAATCAAAAAAATGTTGAAGAAACTCACCAAAAGAAAAGAGAGCAGCACGTTATTAGCATGACTTTCCCTTCTATAATTGTTATCCCACAGATCTTGTTACCAAAGCTTCTAGAATTCAGGATAGCCGTAAGTCATCACATACATAATCGGCACACCAGGAATCTGCAAACTAACAAAAGAAAAAGAGTTAAGAATATCCAAAGACCCCAGCCATGGATATAAACAAAAGCATTAATGTATCGGACAATCTTTACCTTTTGAATCCTTCGTTTTAAGTCTCCATTACATGTAGCCACTACTGATAATTTGATTGAGAGATTAAAAGAGTAGAATTTAGAAAATTTAACAGTTAACCTCTCTGGTAGTGCCACCGCCGTGTACGCCTCAATCCACCGTCGTTGATTACTCCTCAACATGATTGGAGAGATGAGACCCACTGGTTCTTTTTATAAGCCATGCAAATGTGTTCTCCTTCTTCACCACATCCAATCTGAACAAATTTGCAAAAGACCAATAGCATGATTGTGTTCTGTTGGCTTTTTAGTTCTGGTAGATCAAATGCAAGAGAGATTCATGAATGTAATAATATTGTTACCTTGTACAACTCTGTATTTCGTGTGTCTATCTCAGCTAACTCTTCCTTTAGTTGAAGAGTTAGTATCTTTTCCTTGTTGAGCGATGTCTCCTTCTTCTTTTTCGAATTTAAGGGTTGTGATAATGCGTTCGGCTTTTCCTTGAACCTGAGGAATTAGTATCCAGAATACAAAGGAGAAAAAGAAGAGATGTATTGTGATTATCTAGTCTAATTTGATATTCACAGTGTTTAGGGAGAGAAAAATCTGACGGGAAGACACCTTTAATCTAGAGTTAACATTATCCATGACAATTCCCTTACTTTGCCTTCTTGGCTCACCTCGATAATATCTCTTTGATTTGTGGTTTGGTTTAAGAACATTAACCTGATTCACCAAAAACAGAATTAGTTCTATATATATTTGAAATCTGAAAACGTCTCCGCCACAACCTTACATTCAGATTGAATCAAATTTAGCTCCACTCAAACTCGTCATTCCACTCACTTGCTATCCCATCGTAATGAAACAGAGCAATTGTAAAGTTGTTTGAAAACTGGTTTTTGATTAGACAATACATAACAAACATCATAGTCTTATATAAAATGCTGAATACAGAAACATCTCTTACCTTTCTTAGACTTCTCATCAATCTCATCTTAGTATCTTGACACTCTGCATTTCAGCTTCACTTTCCTGAGACAAAACAATCTACTTTAGTTTTTCATTTCTCACAAAACCATTTTACACAACAAAAGCAAGTTTGATTCTTAAATCCAACAAAAACTTAACAAAGACCTCACAGTCACAAGTAAGCTGCTTCTCAACCTTAGTCTCAAACATTCCATTATTACCTGAATTGTTTCATCAAACCAACAACGTGAGAATCTTTTTTGGTTCAGACACATTCCAATACCCAAAAGAGAAAAGAAGAAAAACCTATGATTCTTTTGCTTCCACGTTTCTTATCCATCAAAAGCATCTGGTTAGATCCACCATGTCTGAAGTCAAACATGCTCATAAACACCCAAACACATCCTATCCTTTCTCTTGAAAGATGTCTTCTACAAATATCTTTCTACATTAAAATCCTCAATGCTCTTCTTCTTCTCTCTCTCTATTAACTCCCACGGAAAAAAAAGAAATAGAAAAAGCATAAATGATTTTTACCTTTAGAATCTGATCCAATGCTTGCAAGAACATGAAAATCCCATATGTAACCAATATTTTTCTTGTAGAAGCAATATATGTCATCAATGTATTCAACTACAGCTAGAGGATTGTTCTTGTCACAGCTGTCTATATCCATCACAGACTCTTCTACTTCAACATCAATATCATTTGAATCTTCCATTTCAATTCCTTCCTGCAGATAAAAGACAACATAAATATTCATCCGAGTAACCAACAAAAAAAAAGAGTGGCTTAAATTGTTAACCTTACCATTCGGTCAATCTCTTCAAGCATGGCTTCAGTGTGTTGAACAAACATTGGTTCATTAAAGTCTCCTTCTTCCACATCTGTTATGATTCTATCTAATGTTTCGTTCGAAATCAACTCTGGTTTCTTGGTTTCCTAACCACAAAAAAAAACACTTGAGAATAGACAACCTAAACCATGTCATGTTTTTAATTACCAAATTCAATTTGTGTCAATATAAAGTTACCTCCTTGTAGATTTGGGGATTGTTCTCAGCTAACTGAGCAGCAAATTTCCTGAAGTTAAATCAAGAATTAGAGCTCCTAACCAAACTCATAATACAATTGTGACATTGAAGCAGAAATCAATTGAAATTTACCGACCTAGTAACCGGACGATGCAATGGAGTGGAATCTTCTTGTTACATATCCCATTCTTCCTGAGAAAACAATTGGTTCGTAAGATAAGTGTATACAACTTTACAAATAAATGATCATTCAAAGAAGAAGGTAATAAGTAATTACTTGGTGAATGGTCTCTTGTTGACAGCAGAAGGATAAACAGGAGCTCCGATGATGTTCTTGTTTATATTACTCAGTGCTCTTCTTGTCTGTCTATTCGTCGGAATTACCTTTCCTCCAGGTAAAACACCTATATACCCAAGTCGGATCCTTCGTACTGCAATCGAAGCAGATCTAAATTTGCCAAATCAAAACAAAAAATTAGCATAAACGAACATATATCCAAATCGAAGATCTAGTCAAAAAAACACCAAATCAGCACGATAAAGTCATAAGAAACTCTCTATTTTACAATTTTATCACGATAGACATACCTTTGCAATCTCGACATCGATGTCGATTTAGAGAGCCACCAGAGACGATAACTTGCACGATAATGACATTAGAGCGAGCAACCTCTGTTTTTCGTGAGCTTCAAAACAGATTTCTGTGTTTTAGAAAGTAAATATACGTTAGGGTTTCTAGCAGTCAAAAAGAAAGCATGTAAATTCATGATAAAATACAAAATATAGTTTAGATTAGAGACTGACTTTTGGTACGATGAAACAAACACGCTTTGATGATCGTATGCCCACATCTCATTGTAACCTGAGAGGTAAAAAAACATAATAAAAATCAAAAATATATGCTGGAAAAAATTATGAATGCAGGGACAACTAATACGCAATAAAATCGCATATAAAAATATATAATATAACACAAAGAAACACAAACATTAAAATAGGTAAATATATGTAAAATATACAAACCAAATCTATAGAAGTACCTTTCCAAACCTCGTTCTTTGCTCGTCAACACCACCTTCGTCGGAGAGCTTTGTCGATAGAACCTCCCACGTTATACAAAACTGAAACACACACCAAAAAAACCAAATCAGCAAAACAATAAATTAACGAACTAATGCAAAAATAAAACAAACAACACAAACAATATGCACATGACGTCTAAAGGTGAATAAAAACAATATTTGCATGGCAAACAATTTGATTCATCAGAATCGTAGATGTATAAAAAAACCATAACAGTGAAAACTATCTAATGGGCACAGAAAAAATAATACCTAATTCTCTGGCCGATCAACAATATATATAGCTTTAAGATTAGGGCAAACCTCCGATATTATCTTAAGAAATTTAACTTTTTTAATTAGAAACTAAATCAGAAAACTAACAAAAACGAATATTAACTACTAAGATATAGAATTATCCAAAAAATTAACAAATAAATTTAAGCTAAGATTCCATAATCGTTAAAGTCGAGACATTATGACATCTGTATCCCCAACGATTACACTATAAAATAAAATAATTTAAGGGTGATTAAGACTAATCATCACAAAACACGATTAGACTTATATACCCTTAACAATTACGAACAAAAAATTTCGAATTAAGGGTGTTTAGGACATTATTATAGAGATCAACACACGATTAGACTTATATACCCCTAATTACGAAGAAGGAGAAATTTCGAGAAGAACAATTCATTAAGGGTGTTTAGGACAAATCATTCTAACTTTTAACCACAGGCCTCCAATGCCCTAACTTTCAATATGGTGCGTTTCTACTTCTCAAATAATTATTGTAGAGATAGGCGGCGAGTTGAATATAATATATTATATGATGAAATGAGTTATGATCTTTATAACTATTTGAATATTTATATTTAATTTCATATCATTTTTTAAAAAAATTCATAATTTTACATACTACAATAAAAATTTTTAAAGATTTTAATTTGGAACATTTTAAAAAAGTTTAATTTAATATATTAAAGAATACCATAAATATTTAATAGATTAAAAAGATAAAAAAATTATAAATACATTAATTTGGTTTTCTAAAAAGATATGTTTAAAATATTTATAGTAGGCGGCGGGTTAAATGTAATGTATTATATGGTAGAAAGTTATGATTGTTATAACAGATGGCATTTTAAGATTTTATGATGAGATGAGTTAAATAAGGTTTGACACTTCTAAATATTTGAAAATTTGATTCTGCAAGCAATTTTGAAAATAATAAATAATAGATTGTGCCGCAATATTTTCATAGGGATTGTAAAATCAAAATATAGACTCCACACACGGATTGAATTTGGTATTATTATATACCAAATATATGTTCATAACATATTTGATTATGTGAATAATTGGTAAATTCCGTAATTAGCTCAAACAAATCTCTATTTCAACAACCAATGAATCAGAATTTGAAAAAATAATTTCCTAAATTAATTCAAAATAATAGCTAATTTTCTTAAGTAATTCAAAATAATCTACGTTTTAGATGCGATTCATTTATGATATTTTGATTTTTGATCTAACTAAATTATATGCATTCTCATTTTGTGGTTGTTAACATAAATTAACTCATTGTTCAAACAATATTAATTTTTTTAAAAAATAATCTTATTTTCCGTTTTCATATCTTAAAAAAAAATATCCATAATTGAATACTATAGAAAAGGGAAAATATACTCATTCTAATATTATATATAGGAACTGACAAAAAAATATTATTTTTTCACTTACTATTATAATATATCACAACTTTATTATAAAACATAAAATTTATAAATTTTGTAATAAATGAAATTCAACCCGTACTGTAGTACGGGTGATGATCTAGTAGTATAAATTAAAGTTGCAGAAAACATAATTATCATACAGTGATAATCAAATTATTTCTTGCATGCATTGATGCATATCATTTTTATTGATATTTTACCACATTCTTACTAGGTAATAGGTATTCTTCAAAATATTTACCAGCACATTAATTGACAAAACATAAAGCCAATTATTTGATGATTTTTTTTCCGCCCGTTATTTGATGATTTAGTTGGTCATATGATATGATTATACTGGCTCTTAGGAACCAAATGTTATTTATATATAAGAGCGTCTCAGACAAAGTTTTTCATCAAAGATCTCCACATGAGCTGTCTCTAAAATTAAAATTAAAATAATACCAAATGAAGAGAAAGTGAAATGAATCTCTAATGAAATTTGTCTTTCTACAAGTAGTTTCATTTTAAAAATAATAATTATATAACTAAATTATACTATAAATATTCATTTAAGAAAATGGATGTAGATGCTCTTAAATCTCAGTGTAAGGTCAATGGTATTCACTTAGTGTAAGGTCAATGGTATTCACGATAGGTGGAACAGATTGTCTGACGGAATTAAAAAGAAAAAGACTTGAAAGTAGTCGACTTCAAGAAAAGGCCATTGAGAGAAAGAGAGAGCCTACATACGTATAACGAACCGATTTTATATGTTTTTGTTTGGAAACAAGAGACCTCAAATTGTGCTTATAGAATTGCTAGTGCTGTCTCTAGGATAACTTGTTTAATTTCTCTAAAGTCTTGTGGGTCTATACAAAAAGTTTTTGTTACAAAATATGTTTTTTGTTTGAGAAGAAGATTTTTCTCCACTAAAATGAGAGAGAAACCATTCTTCTACTTGTTTGTTCTTCTTTTTTCACACGAGTCACAGCTTTAGATACCCTGTTTTCGGTTGGTTTTAAAGAAAACCAAACTTGATGCGTCTCACTAAAATGAGAGAAATCATTCTTCTACTTGTTATATTTACTTTTCTCACTCTTTACATATATAACAATATGACATCATCGTTATTCGAAATCGATAGATATTGATCTGGTCTGGTGCCACATTTTTCATCAAGTTGATATTTTTTTTTTGTTTTTTGAACTTTCTTCAATCTTCATAATATGGTTTGCCAAAACATTATTGTTTTCACGATCAAATCTAATACTAGTTGATTGCATTTAAAACTTTCTGAAATCAACGTACTAAATTACTAATGGCGATGTGATAAAGTTGTGGGAGATATTTGTGAAGGATGGATTCTCGAAAATAACGTGCGAAGTTAATGTAACGTAAAACAGTTCTCAACTACGTGATAACTACAATTTTTTAATTCATATTGGTTGATGTATTATATATGATCATATATCCACTAGATTAAACAGCTTTAAACAGACTGTACAGTGTACACAAATAGCCACGAACAAGTCAGACTAATCTAATTGGTTTTTCAATTAATTAGATTGTTTAATCATATATATCCAATTGAATCAGTTTCCTATACAACTGTTTGTCTAATAGTCAAACTTGACATTAAAACAATCCCATTAAACTTGACATTAGTTAGCAGCTCTGATTATGATTTAATGACAAAAGAAAAAAGAACCACATGCATTAACTAGAAAAATAGCGAAATTCTCGATTTCATGTAAATAATTTGCTTGCTGGTAATTGTTCTGACTTAACAAAATTTAATAATAATTAATCATTCCTAATTTCTAAAGTTCCTTCAGTTAATGTAGGATTCATATAGTTTAGCTGGAAGCCTGAACTAGTTTTGTCTTCACTCCAGCTCGATGACGAGAGAGAGAGAACAAGAAACATGAGTAGTTGACTTTATATTGGAACTGGTCTTTAACTCTGGGCAGATCTTATAATAAAAGGGCATACATATATTGGAGAGAGAGAACGATTTATGAGCTGAAAAACCTGATTGCTTCTTCTTTCATTCCAAAGAAACCCATATGAAACCACCTCCTCCTTATTTCTCTAAAGCTAAACCCCCATGTCGTCTGTCCGATCCGGCTCAGCCCCATTGGCTTTGCCGACGGCGACGACCATCTCATCCTCCACTTTCTATCTGTTTTTCTTGCAAAGGGAAGCACTTGGAGCGCAGTAAATACTATTACTACTGTGCTACTTGCAATTTGGAATTCCACAGAGGTTGTCACATCTATCTGCCGGAGATAAGAAGCGCCTTTCATCCCTCTCACCCCCTCACCTTCACCTGCTTACTTCCTAAATTTAATGTTACTATGATACCCAAAAATTGGAGTGACAGCTCCGCTTCAGGCGAATCTGAAGACGATGGTGGTGATGACGACGAAGAATCTGAAGACGATGGTGGTGATGATGACGAAGAATCTGAAGACGATGGTGGTGATGATGATGATGATGATGGTGATGGTGGTGCCTCTTTATCCGATGGAAATCACCTGAAATGCAAATGTTGTGGGGTTCCTTTAAGAAAAGCATATTATCATTGTTCTATCTGCAAGTTCAATCTTAACCTGACTTGCTCGATGGAACCACCACCTCCCATTATCTCACATTTGAAAAGTCATGAGCACACCCTCACCCTCTTCCCTATACGACTCCCTTTGCCATGTGATGCTTGTGGCTTGTCTCTAAACGACACCGAAGATCTCGTTTACTCTTGTCTACCTTGCAGCCGTATGGTCCACAGATCATGTATCTATCTACCTCGTGTCATTAAGATCACCCGACACCCACATCGTCTCTCCCTCACTTCCTCTCTTCAACCTGGTGAT